GTAATCTCTCCGGTAGTCGGGCCACATTGAGAGTAATCTCTCCGGTAGTCGGGCCACATTGAGTAATCTCTCCGATATTCGGATAGGGATTTGTACCCATCCCTTCACACCTAAGACCGCTTTCTTCATGCGTGAATCATCTTGTTGAACAAGAACATATCTTTCTCGCTTGACCTACAAAAAAAAGAAGGCAAAAACGCAGTAGAAAAAAAAAGGAAAAAAAATTACTTTCTCGTTACTGCTCTTCAAAGTGGCTTGCAAGAACCAAAGATTAATGCTCAATTGGTGAAGTAGTATGGAGTTTATATAGAGCTTGCAAAGAGGCTGCCGAGAACTTATTTCCGATGTGGGATCGAGTGTATGAGGAAGCTGTTACAATCCTTCTCCGTATATGATGCATCTGGTCGGCGACAATGAGTCCAAGAAGGACTCAAATTGTTGTAAGAAGCTATACTAATATATTGTGTCTAATCATGACAATGGAAAAGATTTCCTTTCCCGAAAGGAATTGCAGACGTAAGACAATTATGATTTTATATTGAAATCATAACTTTCAATAGCTTTGTCTTAGCCCTATTTAAATTAAATGATCATTATATTGTTCAAATAATTGACGGGGTGTACACATAACAAAATCGCATGGACAATCTTTTGTGCTCTAAACTGGCCTAAACCAAGTTTGAAAGACCGCCAGTACTTCGTTACCCGTTTTCGGTTTTGACAAGTCTACACCTCAACAAGTCTTAAAGTGGGGGCATTTGTAGGCATATAAATTTTATTAAAATTAAATTCAAAAAATAATTTGGACTATATTTTAAATTCAAGATATATTGGTCCAAATAAATATTATGGGCTAATATAATTGAATTAATTATATAAGTCCAACACATATGGGTTAAATAAATAAGTCTTAATCCATTGGGCTAGCCCATTTAATTGGGCTAAAGGGTCAGCCCACTTCATTAAGCCCAAGATGACATCTCCTAGAGGTCCAGTTTGGTGCCACGTGTCAAATGACATGGCACGCCAAGTCAAACGGAAGAGCCAATAGGATCATGCCACGTGTCAAAATGACATGTCATGCCAAGTCATATTAGTAGGCTAATGAAATCGCGCCACGTGTGCAAGTGACATGTTCTGGCCAATCAAATGTGGCCATGTCACACTTCAATTTGATTGGTCGGAAAGAGTTTGTTCTTATCACAACTCCTCCCTTCCACAACTACAAATAGGGGTTTTCATAACCCAGAAAAAACACCAGAAGTTATAACAAGAAGCAAGAGAGAGCTCGTGGATCAAACGCCGCGAATTTCTCTGCAAGTTTCAAGGTTCCAGCAATCAAGTTCAAGAAATCAAGTTCAAGCTCAAGAACGAAGAACGAATCAAGATCAAGTTCAAGCAATCAAGCTCAAGCTTAAGAACAAGATCATCGTTCGTGGAAACAAATATAGATTCAAGATCAAGCTCAAAAGCCCTTGAATTTATTTAATATTGAAAAGAAGAATTAGAGGATCCATGGAGATTGTAACACTCAAATATTCTAAATAAAATAGTACGATTGTTGCGATATTTTCGGTCTTGATTTTATTTTCTTGATGCAAATTTATTGTCTACAGTATTGGGATGAGTTATCCACCTCTATAGTGAAACGGGTTTTTCCATGGGTAATTGGGGGGGGGGGGGGCCAAA